TCTAAAGAAATGGGTGTCGTGGAGGCAGTGACATGAAAGGGTAAGCATGTCGTAAAGGCAGTGGCTCGAAAAAATAGTGTGTTGTAGAGATAGAGATCCGAAAGGTTGGGCGTGTCGTGGAGGCAGCGACTTAAATGATGGTTGTGACATAAAGACACTAGCCCGAAAGGTGAGTGTATCGTGGTGGCAGCGGTCCCAATGATGGGTGTGCCACGAGAGGTAATGACTAAAGGGAATGTTGACCCTCATTGGCGAGGATCATAAAAATGGGGTAAGTGTATGAGTGAACTCTCAAAATGAAACTAAATATGTGATAAATTTTGTGTAAAACATCATGCATATGACACTAATGTGCATGCAAAGCATACAATATGTAAATGATTGGTCAACCGGGTCGAGGCGGCCGGTCGGACCTAACTGGTAGCCGACTAGACAGAGGCAACAAGTTAAACCAAAGGGATCGGATGGACAGGCTGGGGAGGCCGGTCAGATCAAAGTGATTGATCGACTAGGCCGAGGTGGTCATTTTAACCCAAGTGACTAGTCGACCGAATTGGGGTAGTTGGTCGAACATAAGTGCAAGGCTGACCATACTCGGGCAGCCGGTTGAGCTAACATGCAATCAAGACTGGGTCAGGGTGGTCGGTATAAGCAATGTGTTATGTCGACTGGGCCCGTGGTGGCCGATCGAGGCAATGAGTTATGTTGAACAGGTCATGGTGGTCGTTCGAGGTGAAGTGCTATGTCGATCGAGTTGGGGCGACCCAATCAAGGCAATATGCTAAGACGATCGGGTTAGGACGGGTGGTTGAGGCAATGTGCAAGTGCAACATGCTTCAAGCAAGACACATATCATGTTGCAATATAAACCAAATGATCATGCTCGATAACAAGACATAATCGCGCTAACGTCCTTGCTTGGACACCTAGGGTTAAACGCTTGGATGTGTGACATAGCCGTCTTGGCTTTGACGAGGAGTGCGTAGAACTTCATCCTTTAATTTATCATAGGAGAAGTTCTCCTCTAGTCGTAGGACTGACTAGTTACAAAGTTTTTCCATTCTACAATCCCTTCACAATCTTGTAGAAGGGTTAACTACAAATTTTTTTCCATTATTCAAGATCCAACAATTCCAAACACTCCAAGAAAATTTTGAAGCACTAAAATTGTAATAAATTGGGATTTTGACCAACTAGGATTTTAATCTAGGGTTCAAAAAAGAAAATCACTCGGCTTCGCAATGGATTTGGCCATGCATGTGACTCATAACCTAGAGCTTTCTTTAGGAAATCAATAGACAATCCAAAGGCGTGTGGCCGTGTCGACTAGTGTCGACCAACTAACTCGCCTCATGTGGGCAATCAAACCGACAACACCTAAAAAATATATATTCTTAGGGCTAGCTAAGAAAGAAAATGCAAAGGGTCTGAAGAGACTCCCCTACCCGACGGTTGATCAAAGCGTTTTTCACGCAGGATGAAGCTCACCTAATGCTAGGAGAGATGACGATGTTCTGACAAAGCTTCGGCAAGGTCCGTTCCACCCTTTCCCC